TGGGATGGCGGATACCCTAGCAAAACAAGGGGCAAATAGATCTTCATTGTATTGGGCAGAATTGTAACTGATTGCTGGAGATTGCAATTTCCTATGCAATCTTTAGCTATTGTATCTTAATCTCTCTGTTATTAATGAAAAATTTTTACTGATAAAAAAAAAAAAAGCTACAGTTAGTCCATTGTGTAGGCACAGAGTCTTTTTCTAGGGTCTGCCATGATGAGGTTTGCTAGGTACTTTCGTATTTACTTTTGCAAGTGTATTCATTGTAGTTTGTAGTAATTTATTTTTTTCATGCAAGGATAGGAGCAATCTATGACTCGAGCAGAATTATTTGTTAAGACCCATACACGAAAGGATGGGAAGGTTGTGAATAAAGGCATCTGAGGAAGTCATTGTAAGTATTTATATTCTTTTGTTAGAATATGGTTCTAAAATTTTATCTTCATGTGTAGGTTAATTTTTACCTTTTTGCTTTTAATAAATAATATTGTATGCTTAAATTACCTTGTTTTCTATTATAGACACGGGTAAAACAAGTTATGTCTTCTCAAGCTTTGGAGTCTTCATCACAAGCAACCTCTATTGCTGCAAAAGATGATGTTCTTAGTCAAGTACTTGGAGAAGAGCGTTGTGGACATGTTCATGGTTTAGGGTTGGGACCAACTCCAACATCTTTATGGGGTCCAACCACCAAGCATCAAAATACACAATTGGTTGCTGAGAACAAAGAACTCAAGGAAAAGATTAACTCATTAACTGGCAAATATAATGACTTGGATGAAAAATTGAAGAAGGTTCTAGAGATGTTGCATAATAGAGGAGAGGTAAACTATTATGATCTAAAATTAAATTAAATATTTATAATTTCTTCAAAAGTGTCAAGTTTATTCAGCAGCATTAGTAATTCATTTGTTGTAGGGTTCAACCAATGCTACATTCATAAATTCGCCAGAAAGTATGCACTCCTCTGAAGCAAGCCACATGGTTGAGAACCTTGGTCTTGTGGTGATGTCTCAACACATTAGCTTTGACAATAGAGTATTATATATTGGAGGACACTAGTTTGTTCTAATATAAAATGATTACCTTTTGGAATGCATAGTTTTTTGTTGAATAATTGGTTTCTTTTTTGATGATGGAATGGAGGAGAATGTTTGTGCATGAGATGAGAAGTTGGGGGATGCAATTCATAGTTAGGATGGATGTAAATATGTGAATATAGAAATGTTCTCTTTCTTTACAGGTTAACTCTTTCTTTAACCTCTCTCCTCACCCTTAACCTAGCCATTTCTGCCCTTTAAAACCACCAGTTTACTGCTACAAATCATAGTAGTTAAAGCCTGAAAACAACTTTTGACCTTCATTTTACTGATGTAATCTATGGTAGAGAACCAGGCCCAAAACTTCCTTGTTTGTCTCAATGCCCTATGGCAAATTATCACTCATTGCACTTCCAATACCTCTCACTTTTACTTCTTTTTTTCCATGAACCCTAGTCCATAGTGGTCCAAAATTCCTATTAAACCTTCCATCCCTTGGCTAAAATTTGCAGTCTTTGGTAGCTCTGGAACCACCCTATTGTATCTTTTTTAGCTGTTGTAAAATGCAGCCCAAAACCGTCCATTTTTGTTACCAAGGCTGTGTTTGGTTGCAATGCAAATAAATTTGCACTGATGCAAAACTGTGGCAAAGCAAATGATTTGAGTTTAAATTCTGGCCTATTTTTGTTTCAAATTTTTGAGTAATTTGTTTGATTGCATTACAAATGAAGTAAATTAAGACATGAAGTAGAATAAAGTAAAATCCAAAACAAAATTAAATGAGAATTTGCATTTTTTTTCATTTGCACTCCCATGCATTTGTACTAGTGCAAATAAAATTGCACTGCAACCAAACACAGCCTAAGGCTCAGTTTGAGGAGAGTACAAATAAAAATATGTACAGCGCAAAACATTGTATATTATATTTCTTAACCTTGTATTTGCACTCTTCCCAAACTGAGCCTAAGACTTAGTTTGGGAACTGTACAAATATGAATGTGTAAAGTCCAAATACAAGGTTTTGCACTGTACATATTTGTATTTGTTCTCTTCCCAAACTGAGCCTAATGCACTGCTTGCTGTGAATTACCGCAGAACATCAACCTTTTTAACCCCCTTGAAACCTTAAAAGTCATCTTTTGACTGCCAATTCACTATTGCAAATTGTAGCAACTGGTAAACTTGAAACTCTCCTCTAGATTCCCAGAATACTGTCATAAATCATAAGAATACTCCATTTCATTCTAGCTTCTTGCTACAAGTTGTAGTCCACATCATCCCAAAACTCTCCTCTGACCAAAGTTCAAAATTTCGACACCCTGTACTGGGCATATATTCATGGACTGATTGAAATGCCATTTTCAAGGCTTTTTCAGAAACTTGGGGTTTTTTAAACATTAATTATGCTTTAAATTGATCCCTATGAAATTCTCAAAGTAAAAAAAGTGTTTTATAGTATTGAAACACCCAATATACATGTTTATGCTTATCAGGCGTATTGATACTTTGAACCTTGCCTATGACTTACCAACCTTTGGTTGCAAGTTTTTTTTTTTTGATGAATCCCTTTGGTTGCAAGTTACAGCTCATACCATGCACCCCTTTCTTTGTTGTACATCATAGCAAATAGCATAATCCCAATTCATTTTATCTCTATTTCAATCCATGGTTATGCTGTAAATCGTAGTCACTTAAGCTATTATGAAATGATGTAGTACATGGTCTTTACATGAAATATTTGGAAAACTTTAGTAGTCCAAATCCACTGCTGAATTTCCACATAACTCATACTTAGTTTAAATAGGAGGCAAATGGAAAGATTTTTCCATTGAACAAAATTTGTGAGAGAACTAAAAGAAGGTTGATGGAAGTTAATTTGATTGAATATTGGAATGAACAACTGGGCGTGATAGCTCAACACATCAACTTTAACATTAGATTATAAAACAATTGGAAGACTAGTTTGCTCTAATCTTAAATGATTATCTATTTTACAATTTCTTTTGTTAATGTAGGATGATGAGGTTCTCAACAAAACTTGTGTGGCTGATGATGCTAACTTTGAAACTATGCCAACAACAAATAGTCTGGTATGTTTTTGGTTTTAACAATTTACTTACCAACCTCTTGAAAAAAATTGTAACTATGGTTTATTGTCTCTAGCCTCCCATTTAAAAAAGAGGCTTTTTTTTTTACATTAACCGCTTTATTGCAGGATGATGTTCACACTACTACCCCGGTAGTTGGTGCAGCCATTCATCTTATTGCAGAACAGACAAATAATCTGGTATGTAAATGTTTTATTATGTGAATGGTAATTGTAAATGTATTTTGTTCGTATAAATACAAATATATTTTTCATGGCAATGTGAATAGGTAAAATTATTAGATTTGGATGATGAGGTGGTTGCATATGCTCTTCTCAAGAGTAAAGATCCCACAAAGGAAGTACAAGGACGACCATTGGGAGATAAATGGTCTGAAGTACTAGTTAGACTTTCAACGAAGGATGATGCACCACTTATGAGGATAGATGCAGGGCGTAGAACCATCAAAGATGCAGCCGCTGCAACACAAACAATTGCTTGGCGTAATGATTTTGTAAGTATTGGTTGCTTAATTATTTATGCCAATTATTAATTTGATATCTGCTAATATTGATTTGTATTGCTGACATGCAGATAAAATCAGATTTTCGGCCTCATTGATTGATTGGATGGAGAAAGACTTCGCTGAAATGTAGATAAAATCAGATTTATAGACAAATGGAAAGGTTTTTCCATTGAATTTGTGAGAGAAATAAAAGAAGGCTGGTGGAAGTTAATTTGATTGAATATTGGAAAATGAACAGCTGGGAGTGATAGTGTTATACGATTGGAAGATGCTAGTTTGTTCTAATCTAAAATGACTTATATTTTACAATTTCTTTTGTTAATGATAGGATGATGGGGTTCTGAACAATTTTTTTTGGGAACCTCATCAGCCACTTTATTATGATGGTTCAACTTAAGAATCTTAATGTGTCATAGTAGGTGTATTACATATCACAATAAATAAGCAGTACAGTTGTATTAAAAAAACGAACCGGTGACCGAACTGGTCAGGGGTCCGGTTACTGGTTTGAACGGTCTGACCGTTTGACCTGAACGGCTGGCCCATTCTGACCAAAAAATAAAAAATTTTAAAAAATTGGAAAATGGTCAAACTTCAAATGGTTTGAACGGTTCGAACGGTTAACTGGCCGGTTCAATGGTTTGCTGACCAAAATCAACGGTTTTGGAGGAAAACGGAACCTGGTTTTTCCGGTCCAACCATCCAGTCTGGTCCGGTTTTGAAAACAGTGATTAAAAATGATTTAATGAAACTTGCAACTATCACTATATCTTCGTACAGATAGGCTTGTAATTGGACTGGATTCAAAGTGGATCCAGCTACATTTGCATCCACAAACCTTATAGTTTTTTAATATTAAAATCTGAAAACAATATATTAGAACCAAAAACTAAAGAAGGGGTAAAAAAGCAAGAAATGAAACTAAGTTGGGTGATGGTATGTTCACATACTTGGTAGATGAAGATCCTAATAAAGAAATCATAACTATGTAACTTTATAAGATTCGGTCTTTTGGAAAGAAGCTATTTACAATGAATTAAAGTCTATCATGTCAAACCATACTTGGAAATTAGTTGGTTTGCCTAAAGGGTTAAAAAAATTGGTTATAAATGGATTTTTTTTGTTTAACTTTCAAAAATGGATTTTTAAGAAAAACTTAAAATTAATGGTACAATTGATAAATTCAAGGCAAGGCTAGTTGCTAAGGGATACAAATAAAGAGAAGGTGAAGATTATTTTGATATTTTTTTTCTCTGGTAAATAGAATTGTTATAGTACTCTTAACTATAACCTCGATACATAAATTAATTATTTATCAAATGGACATCAAAACAATATTTGTAAAACTTTCCGATTAATTGATTGGTTCAATTTGGTTTCGAGTTGTGGTATCACTTATCAGTTCGGTTAAAAAAAATAGTCTATAGTTCGATTAACTGAACCGTAAGATATGGACTGTTAAAAGAAGTCAGAAGAAGGTCATAAGGCATTACTTGGAGAAAATTAGCTCTACTTTTGTGTAACACTAGGATAGGTCGAAGTGGTGAAGCTGAAAGGTCCGAAAAGCCTTTTGAGATTCTATTTCTTTTTGTCACTCTTGCCTTTTCGCTTTTAAAGAGAAGGGTTTTCTCTATACTCTTTATGTATAGATTTCTTATAGGGGGCATTCCTTTTTTTGGATTTTGAGAGGGGGAAAGTTGGTCAATGGGATTTTGGTTCCCATTGACCAAGAATCTATGTTCTTTTTTCAGATTATGTGGGTGGGGACCAAGGAAAGATTATTTTCTTGGGTAAGTGATACCCATTTCCTAGGTGGGTAAATAACTTTCCCACATATGGGAAAGTTGCAGGCACTTGAGTGAGACAAGAATGCCCCTTTTAATAATGGATTTTTATGGCTAAAATGGTCATTGCCTTATTTACCCAGGAAATAAAAGAACATGGGTAAATACACTTACCCGAGTATTACCTAGGTAATTGCATTTACCCGGGTAAGTAACTTATAAAAAAGCGAACAGGGTAAAGTAATCTTTTCAATTAACTTTATAGCTCTGTATTGAAGAGAA